AAATCAAAGAAAATTGAAATTTATCAAGAAAAACAAACCTTAGTTGCATGTAAACATCCACATATAGAAATCAAAACTAATTGTGAAAACAAAACATTAATTTATACTTTGAATATTTATTTTTTCTTATGTTAATTAGTTAACAAATCCGTTGTATAACTAATCCTAATCATCAAACAACCACAATATCCATACTGGTAATTTAATTCAATGGCAACCTTAAGAACTACATAAGTTGATTAATCTAGACAACATAATTGTCCACAATCCATGTTTGTTTTGATCAAACGAATGTTCTCCCTAAAGTTAATAATGTAGATCGTCATAATTATTAGACTTAGTTACTTCATAAGTTCATATATTATACAACTCTGGTTTTGATAGCAAACTTTAACAATAAATTGTTCATAATAATAACTTAGAGTCCGCTCTAGTAATTAAAATAAATAATACTAAGAAATAAGTATAGGAGAGCAAATATATTCATTCATCATATTAATTAAAAAGAAGATGTAAAACAAATCTCACAGTTCTTGAAATCTAAAGGTTTTTGTGTCCTTACAACAAAGAAAAAGAGTTTAGCTTTGCATGTTTGTTGAATAAGTAATTAAAAAAAAAAAACATGATTTCAGGTTTGTGGAGGAGAAGGGGTGTTTTTTTTCTCTTGGCTAGTTGTCCTCCTTCTCTTCTCTCATTCTTTTTATATCTTAGGAAACCTTAGTCTCTATTTTACAAAACAGTTCTCCCTCAAGTAGACAGTTTACATTTAAGTACTTCAATAACTATTTTCCAACAAAAAAGAAATATCCTAGCATGAAATCTTCAAGCTATGACTTAGAGGAGCTAAATTGCTAAAATAAAAACTTGGATGTTAGTTTGGATGCTTCAGGATGTAATTTGAACTCATTTCTTTATAAAATCTGTTTGTTGGCAATATTCATTTGTCATCTTAGAAAAATCCTATCTTCCTCATATGAGATTGTTTTTGGCTGAAATTTGGTATTGGATAGGTCTTTGAGTTAAGAATCCAACAAAATTTAGTTTGCATCAAATGGACTTCTGTAGCTCAAGATATTCAAGTTGAAATAACCTAAGGTCAACACTAGCAGATTGCGAGATTTGACTTTGAAGGCTGTGAATTCTATGCTCTTGCTTATTTTATTTTCTTTCCTCAGATTTATAGAAAAGTATGGATGTTAGTTTTTTAATGCCACTAGAATCACGTCATTTTAACTTCTAGAGCCTTCACTCTACATAAAACATCAACTAAAGGTTAAATCTGTCAATTATCTCCAATATATTTTTTTTGTATCTTTCATCCAAAAATGCCTTCAAAACATAAAAAAAAAATATTAAGGCATTTTATATATAAAACATAGACAAAACATTAGTTAAATATATGTTAAATTATTGAATAATATAGTTGCATCATTCTCCTATTAAAAGGGTTCTCACTAGAGGCATTTTAATAATTGCTCAAGTAAATTGGTAAGGTAAGCTACACTAATCTTTAAAGAATCTAACTCTTCTTGAAAGTGAGCGTTATGATAGATACATTCTTTATCTTTCATATTTCTTTACTAGAATCGAGTATTGTAAACTTTGTGGATTGGAGGTTTTGAGATACCTATATTTTGATCTAATGCATATATGTTTATTATTTATAATGAATTAATATATAATTGATTTGGGAATTATTTATTTTCAAGTCACATGAAAGAGACAGAAAAGGAAAATTCAACTCAACTGAGATTTATAATTTTACTAAATTTATCTGCCTGAAGCTGTAGGTCGTCCCATGGCCTGCAAAAATTGCAGAAAGAAAGATCAAGAATGCAGTGAGGATGCTTTAAAAACCACCATTTAGATATAGCTTCGGCTAATCTAAAAATACATGTAGCTTAATTTCCTGATCTGGAACATAAGAATTTGATAAAGCTCCTCTCCTTTCACTTAGCCTCATGACAAATGAAATGGAGTGTCATATGAGTTAATCTTTTAATGCTCAGACTGACATTTTGTATGATCCGTCTGACGAGCACTGCAGCAGATGCCCAGCAAGTCGGTAATACCGCGCAGAAGAATCATGTTCTCAGCTGTGCAAGAATCATCTGCTTCCACTGGTAAGCTGCCACATTCTTAGTGCACAAGTACTAGGTCTAGTTTGTTCAGGTGTCAATGTTGAAATTCAATGAAGAAAACTCTGACTATTTTGTTATGGTTCAATAGTTGCAGCTGATGCAAATGAAGTAAAGCCAGTTGAAAAGAAGGCACCGACAAAGCCCAAAAAAAAGTCCTGCTAAGCCATTTTCTCAGTTGATGGCGGAGGATGTGATCCCTTCTTTGAAAGCAACTCTTGAGGCTCAAGATCATATCACTGAATTCGACCTATCTTTCGAAGAAAACAGAGTCAGTACTCCACTTTGTTTCATTGCTGTATTTTAGCCTAAAATGTCATTGTAAGCTATCCAAAATTGCTCCGACCTTTTCCAGTTGGAAGGCTCCTTCCTAAAGAACGGCACTCCTTGTTCATTTTGGGCCTTCTTCCCTGACGGAGTCCTCACAGGTACTCTCATTTTATAGCAGCTTGAGAGTTCAAACTATAGCCTATCAATATTTCATTTTACATGAAACCCGGCATCATTTCCTTGCTGCGGCAGGTCCAAAAGCGTTTTCTCTATCATCCTACGGTTCAGGAGCCAGCACAGTTGAGCCTTTTCTGATCGATGATAAGAAAATTACTGAAAAACACATCGTATTTTGGGTGGAAAAGCGCTTGGCAGCTCAAGGAATCATTCCTGTGTGGCGAGGATAGTCCCTCACCAGGTTCATTCGAGATGATATATGCGTTGGTTCTTGAGCATAATGCTTTCCATGAAAATAATAAAATAAAATTATTTTAAAAATTTATGTTTCTGTTTGGTAGATTTAAAATTATTTTGAGATTTATTATTTAAAAATTTAATTTAATTTAGTTTTGAATAATTGTTTAAAGATTAAGTTATTATAAATTATAAATCGTAATTCACACGAACTACCAATTAAAAATATTCTAAAATTTATATTTAGAGGAGATATAACTATATCTAAAGCTTTAGCTCTCTATTCTATAACTTAAATAGTTTTTTCGTTTAACAAATAACTATAAAAAAATAAGATATATAACTTATTATTTATAGGAAAATTTAAAAAATTTTATAAATTAATAAAATATCAATTTGCCCATTAAATAGTATTTATATATTAATTCAAGATAATTTTAGAAATTAACTCAATAAAGTCCTTAGTTGATTTTTCTAAGTTTAGAAATATAATTCATGTATTAATTATATTCTATTATTTAATTTCTAAAATATATTTTAATCAAGTCATACTTAATTAAACTATCTTAGTTTATTTTTTTATTAATAATTTTTAATGTGTGTTACCTAGCAAGCTTCTAACATGTTAGTGCAAATATAAATTATAACTATAATGAAATATAATTAAATAAATTAAATAATTTAATTTATTATCAATTCAACAATTAATTAATTTATATTTAATGATCAAGTGCATCATCTAACAATATATCATGATCCTCTAAATATTAGAAAAGTCATTAGTGATTTAACTTAATCTTTCAGCGATTGGTTTCTCAATATAATTAATATCATTTCATTAATAATGTTCTAATTTAACATTAAAACATGAAGTATATTTGTCCTGTTAAATCATGTTTGTTTTCTACATAATAGTCATTAATCGTTTGAATAAGATTTGAAACTCTTTTCAATTTTCATTCCATTTTGGCTACAAATTTCTTAATCAATATTATTTAAAAACAAATGAAATATTTTCTCTAATTCATTTAAGTGATGAATCTTCTCTTAATTACTCAAGTACCTGCATGTAGTTCATACAATACTCAATGTGTGCCCCTTTCTTACCTAGATTAAAACAACATGTAACATGATCAAAGGATAATATTTTTTGTATAAGATAACTTAGTGATTTAATATCTAAAAATTACTTATATGACCATCACATGAGTTTTTTTATGGATATAGGTGATTTCTTAAAATTCTTATATGAGTCAGTTTAATGTATATGTCTTATGACAAACACTTACATATTAGTTTTAAATATCACTTATATCTCAATTTATAAGTACAACTGCCTTTCATAAAGAAAATTACATGATATGTACTAATCTCTATGACTCCAATAAATATTTAGTATTTAAAAATATATCGACCAATAATATTTTAAGAATAATATTATGATACAATAAAAATTTTATAATTATAATAATTTTATAATTTTTTCTGTAAAATATTTTTATTTCATGAATTTTATCTATTCTCTATATTTATAAATTGAAATTCATTAATCTAATATAATATAAATATTATAAATAAATAATTTTTTTATTAATATAATAATAATAATAATAATAATAATAATAATAATCATTCAACCTAAGAAGTTAAATTACCAATATGATGCACAATCACCGATTGTTTTGCTTTCAATGGAAAAGATGTTACATTCCGTTTATAAGGTAAAGACTAAAAAAGGATTTCCTTGATTTGTCTTGGGAGTTAGTTCGAACCAGAGATTGACCCAGTGACAATAGATACGCAAGGAACGCTGCATTCCTGTAATGCCAAGTTAAACTCGTATAGAACATCGACCAACATGCCACGTGGCCAATCATATTAAATACGGACATATTTTTTTTATTAATTTATTTTAATAATTATAAATTTTCAAATAAAAACAATATTCCCAACTAAAACCATGAGATAATTAATAAATTTTTTTAATATATATTTATTTAAAAGTATGATTATAATTGCTTTCCAAATTTCTTATAATTTGAAATATGTTAAAATAATATTTTTAAAAAATTATTTCCAATATTAATATACTAAAAAAATTTAAAATATTAAAAAAATATTAATTTAAAATAAAAAAAAATTAAACACTGAAATAAACAGGTATACAGGATTTGGCTGGCTACCCCGCAACTAGTTTTCCGTATACGTTTTACTCGTACGTTTCCTAGCTATTCCTCTCTCTCGTTTTAGCATAACACGCATACGATCCGTGCTCTATTTTTCCTCCTTCTTCATTTACACCACGCGAACAAAATCACGGAAGAATCTTCCGCTTCTGTTATATCAGTGAGAAAGAGATAGCTGGGCGTAACACTTTTGGATCGAAGAAGGCATCACCGGATCCGGATCCGATCTTTCTTCACCCGAACCGTTTGTCAGTTTTCTAGATTGATTAGAGGTAACTCCTCAAGTCTTTCTCCAAATTTATTGTTAGCTGGATGCATGTGCATGTGTATGCTATATATTTGGATTTTAGATCTAGTTATGATGCGATGCGACCCGCTATTGATTGATTTAACTTCTTCTTTTTCCCACGTTAGATCTAACCATACTGAGATGATGCATGTATCTATAGATAGATGGATGTGTTTATGTTGATTAACGGATCTGTTAATTATTGCCATCTCCTTAGTGAAGTTGTGCCATTTCCTTAGTGAGGTTGAGAATCACCATTATTTTGCCCTAAACATCGGCGTGCTAGTTTTCGTGTCAATTCCATCAGCTTTGTTGCTCAAGATTAGGTGGTTTGAGTAGTATTGACTTAAAATTGTTTTTGTTTGATCCAGTGGCTTTTTACCTTACTGGCAATCAAAATGAGGGCGCCCATGATCTGCTGGGCTTTCCTTGTGCTGGCTCTGTTTGGGAACGCATGTAATGGCTTTTATTTGCCTGGTAGCTATATGCACACGTATTCACCTGGGGATGCCATCTTTGCCAAAGTTAACTCCTTAACTTCAATCGAAACTGAGCTTCCCTTTAGCTACTACAGTCTCCCTTACTGCCAACCCAAGGAAGGAGTCAAAAAAAGTGCGGAGAATCTTGGGGAGCTTCTTATGGGAGATCAGATCGATAACTCTCCCTACAGGTTTAGAATGAACGTGAATGAGTCTGTTTACCTTTGTACCACCAAGCCTTTGAGCGAGCATGAGGTTAAGCTTCTGAAGCAGAGAACACACGATCTATATCAAGTGAACATGATTTTGGACAACTTGCCTGTGATGAGGTATGCCAAGCAAAATGAAATTGACATTCAGTGGACGGGGTTCCCTGTTGGGTATACGCCACAGAATAGTAATGATGATTATATAATCAATCACCTCAAGTTCACTGTCTTGGTTCATGAATATGAAGGGCGTGGTGTTGAGATAATTGGTACTGGGGAAGAAGGTCTGGGTGTGATCTCTGAAGCTGACAAGAAGAAGGCATCTGGTTTCGAGATTGTTGGTTTTGTGGTTGTTCCTTGCAGCGTTAAGTATGATCCTGATGTGATGACAAAGCACCAGATGTATGACAGTGTCTCATCTGTGAGCTGCCCCTTGGACCTTGACAAGTCTCAGATCATAAGGGAACAAGAGAAGATTTCCTTCACCTACGAGGTTGAATTTGTGAAAAGTGAAATTAGATGGCCGTCGCGATGGGATGCTTACTTGAAGATGGAAGGTGCTCGTGTTCACTGGTTCTCAATCTTGAACTCGCTCATGGTGATTTTCTTTCTGGCTGGTATTGTTTTTGTAATCTTCTTAAGGACTGTGAGAAGGGATTTGACAAGGTATGAGGAATTGGACAAAGAAGCTCAAGCACAGATGAATGAGGAGCTTTCTGGGTGGAAGCTTGTTGTCGGTGATGTGTTCAGAGAACCAGATTGCTCAAAGCTTCTCTGTATTATGGTTGGAGATGGTGTTCAAATTACAGGGATGGCAGTAGTTACTATTATTTTTGCAGCCTTTGGTTTCATGTCGCCAGCTTCAAGGGGGATGCTGCTGACAGGGATGATTCTGCTGTATCTTTTCCTAGGTATTGTGGCGGGCTATGTTGCAGTACGATTGTGGAGAACCATCAAAGGAACTTCTGAAGGATGGAGGTCTGTTTCTTGGTTGGTTGCATGCTTCTTCCCTGGAATTGTCTTTGTTATCCTCACGATACTGAACTTCATTCTCTGGGGAAGCCAAAGCACTGGTGCAATTCCAATCTCTTTATATTTTGTCCTTTTGGCCCTCTGGTTTTGCATTTCAGTGCCGCTCACTCTTTTGGGGGGGTTATTGGGGACACAAGCCGAGGCAATTCAATACCCGGTGAGAACAAACCAGATACCAAGAGAAATTCCTGCACGGAAATTGCCATCATGGGTGCTTGTCCTTGGTGCTGGAACCCTTCCCTTTGGGACCCTCTTCATTGAATTGTTCTTCATTCTCTCTAGCATCTGGCTTGGACGGTTTTATTATGTCTTTGGTTTCTTGCTGATAGTTCTGCTGCTACTAGTTATTGTCTGTGCTGAAGTATCTGTGGTTCTTACCTACATGCATCTTTGCGTGGAGGATTGGCGGTGGTGGTGGAAGGCTTTCTTTGCTTCCGGTTCAGTATCAGTCTTTGTCTTTCTCTATTCCATCAATTATTTGGTTTTTGACCTACAGAGTTTGAGTGGACCCGTGTCAGCTATACTCTATCTGGGCTATTCACTGATCATAGCAGTTGCAATCATGTTATCTACTGGCACCATTGGTTTCCTTACGTCATTCTACTTTGTGCATTACCTTTTCTCATCCGTAAAGATAGACTAAAAAGTTGCTATTGGTGTCTGCTCCTTGTGAGGAAATTTTCTTGGTTCACATTTTTTGCATTTTGTGCTATATTGAAGACTCAAATGATATCCTGAATTCATCAAGGCCTGTTATATTCCGAGATTAGAAGACATGATAGTTGTTTAATGTTTTGGTTGTTGCAGTTGCTCTATAACATCGCCGTTTTTATTTTTGTTTTCGCTTAGTTGTAATGCTCTCGATTGATAAAATAAAAGTGCAAATGGCACCATGCAATGCAATTCCTTAAAATCTCTCTTAACAATCTGTTTCCTTTTATTTGATTACTTCATTCTAAGTTTTCATTGATCAAACAGTGTTCTAGGGAGACTGCTGGAGAAGTAGGTTTTTATCTGGTCTTGCCATGTCAGTAGAACTCTCAATATCACCTCTTCTTATCATTTGGAAAAGTGTAATGATCCATGTTTCTCGATCTGGTGAAGCCTTGCCCAAATTAACAGACATTCTCTGGGGACCTTCAATACTTTGGTTATAAAGAATCTTGCGTGCGTTGTTTATTGTTGTGTGGATGTAACTCCTATGTGCACGCAGATACCGTAGTAAGTTCCCGTGGGCCTGCATGCGTTGCAAGGAGATCAACTTTAACTGGTGAAAATTTCAATGGACAGTTTTAAATCCCGTTTTCCTGAGTAGCAACGGGAGAAAATCCTCAACAAATGAGTAACTGGTTAATTGCTGTATTTGGAAGCAGCAAGTAAGTGGTAATTGTTTTTTAAAATATTTAATATTTATTAATATTTTAAAATAGTATTTTTCAATTAAAAATTGAGTCGATAAATTAAAATAGATGCTATTTTTTAGAAAAAAGATGTTAAATATTTGTTTCATTTTGAAATTGAATTTCTAAAATTTTAATTAGTTTGAATCAACAAAATTAAATTTTATTTTATCAAAATTAAACATTAACTAAACATCAAAACTTGTTTGTAATATCACAAAAGCTGCATGTAAAACCAACTAAAACAAAAAATTAAACACAATCCCAAGTTAATTTAATGTGAAAGAATTAAATAAAAAATAAAAAATCAAATGATAGAAAAATTTAAAAAAAAAGATGAAAAAGAAAACAATATGGGTAACTATACATTTGCAACCCACAATAGATTATGTTTTTTGTTTTTCTTTGTTGTAACCTATTTTTTGGTCCCTGCATAAAAAAAAAAGAAAATACAAAAAAATAAAAATTATATATGGAAGAAAAATAAAAAACATAATAGCAATGAAAAGAGGATGCTAGAGCACCAAAACAATAACTAAAAATTGGTTGAAAAGGTTTAAAAATACAAGGATTAAAATTTGATAGTATATCATTTACTAATGAGAACCCGACTGATAAAGAAAATTTAATTTGAGAAAGAAAAGTTCAAAATCAGAGGTTTATGGACTCAATTAAATTTTATTGAAGGTTTAATTGAATTTATGGAGGATTTTATTGTAAGAAAAATTAATTTTGAAGTCAATTTGGGCTTTAATTGGAAGAAATTATAGTTCTAGGTCAAATTATAATTTTTAAAAGTTGCTTTGATCAAATAAGGGGGTTTATTGCATAAATATTAAAATTTGATGGCCAATTAGAGACTTAATGAAAAAAATTTAAAACCAAGGACCAAACTGAAAAAGACGCATAAATAAAGGAGTTGTGATTAACCAAATTAGAAGCTAAATTGAAGAAATTAAAAGTTTATTGATTAATTAAAAGTCAAATTGCATAAATCAAAGACCAAGACTTTCTTTATGACATTAATATGGTATATAATACCATAAGACTTTCTATGTCAAATGAACCTTCTTATTAATAAGATCATGTGTTTGTTTTATGCAAATAACATATTGAGCATAACCTTTAAGTATAAAACCATTAAGCCAAGAATCTTTTGGTGTGTTTCCATTTTCTTTCAAAACCATGCATGATCTCGCATGTTTATAAGAATTTTTGAGAATTCAAAGTTTTGTGCAGAAATCATATTGATGTTTGGCCAAAAAAAATAAATTCTGGAAATTTAAGTGATTCCTTAGAAGGGTAACCATACACTTAGAAAACTTGGAAAAAAAAAACCATGAGGTGACTCCAAAGCTGAGTTTTATTTGAATGAATAATCACTTTGCATACTCACATGTAAGCAAGGCTTTTAAATGCAGGCATTTGAAATGAAGAAAGGCCATATTTGATAATTCTTTCATGAGACTAAAATATATCCTTTACAGGTCCCTTTTAAGCCTAATAATGTTTTTTGGTAATAACCTTGGCTAGGATTACACCCCATACTAGGAAGCAAGTGCAAGAGATATAAAAAAAAACTTCGTTGATTGAAAGTGGCCAAGCAACACTAAAAGGCATAAAAGAAAATTTTCAATGATCAAATGCGCCCAAACAAAACTAGGGGGCATGAAAAAAAAACCAAAGGGTCCAAAAGAATTGAGCTTCTCACAAAAATAAATGATATAATGATGCTCGACCAAGTGAAGAAAGAAAAAACAAATGAAAAGCTCAAACCTAACACTAGGGGGTGACATGACTAAAAGATTGATGTCTTCTCTCAAGTGCAGGAGTGTCGAAGTAATAAATAACCCGGCAAGACCGGGGTCGAACCACAGAGGTTAATTGTATAAATTATAGATGACAATAATACAACAACAACAACAACAACAACAACAACAACAATAATAATAATAATAGTACTAGTAGTAGTAAAGAAAAAGAAAGAGGAGGAGAAGAAGATGATGATAACTTTGATATGAAATATTAATGTAAGGATTAAGCAATAATAATAAAAAAATATAAAGGCTAGAAGTTCCACTAATAGTATAAACAAGTATAGTATAAACTCTTATTATTTAATTGGAAACCACACACAAAAAAGGTTCCAATCAGATTATAAATTGTTAATATGATCACATTAGTTATCTTATTTGATTAATGCTAATACTTGTAAATCTTGTTAGACATTCATGATTATAACTTATGTTAACAACAAATCAAGTTCCTTTCATAGCTCAGGTGTCGGTTATACCATATAGTATGAGCTATGAAAGTGCCAAGTATTTGTTGTACCAAGTGCTATATAACATAAATCTAGATTACTCATTTAACAAGCAAAGTATTAAAGAGTGAACAAGATAACAAATACAAAACATGTTAGTATCAAACATTAAAGTCCATATTAAGTTTACATTATACTTATTCTTACACCATTAGTGTAACCTTTTCACCTTGACATAATAAACTTAACTAAACATAATGAAAGAAAGAAAAATAAATAAACAAAATAAGAATATAAATAAGATAAAAGTTAACTAAGTAAATGAAAAGAAATGAAAGGCATAAACTTGATATTAATGAAAGCAAAGTATAAACATTACAAAAAATACAAAGAGAGAAAGCAAGAGCATTATCTTGATCTGGAAACTAAGATACCTAAATGCATGGCAAATGCCTCCTTTTATAGTCTAAAATTAGAAACTATTGATTTGATGACTAATTGATGAGTGGGTGGCCAACTCTTGACTTGGTGACAATCATTATTTTCTCTTGTCTGCCCAAAACGTCATTGATAACGTCAAAATTGGAACCACTTGAAAACATGAAAGTTGTAGGAAATTGTCTCATTTTTCTAGATAAAACATTAAGATCATTTGGACTTCTAAAACTCCAGATATGGGTCAAACACTGAACAGTGCTCGGGCTGGAGGACAGATTCAGACTTCTTTGTTGTTGCTACAACTTGGACTTGAAAATGGCCTTTTTAAATCTTGAGCTCTATATGAAAGTTGTAGGCCTATATCTTACCTTTCCATCCATATAAAGTAGACCTAAATCTAATATCTACAGATTCATATATGACCCAATTACTGAACAGTGTTCTAGTTTAGATTGCATCGGCATCTCTTTTCTAAGTTTAGCCATCTCTTTGTCCTTTTAATTTCAATTCTTAAATTCATCAATCAATCCTTTTATTTATATGATAGGCCTACATTTAAAATGAATATTTACCGCAAATTAAAGGTATCTTATATTATTAGATATGTTATTATAAAACATGCTTTAGTTAAGGAGTTATTAATACTTTAAATGCAAAATGATGATATAAAACCTTGATAAAAATACACTTTTAAGTACTAAACACCCCCAAACTAGCGTATTACTAGTCCCTAGTAATCAAAGAGTTAAAATAGAAAAATAATTTGCAAATTCCACAAAGCAAGATATTCATCATTCAACTTCCATTAATCTATCTAGATAAACAAACTCTCATTAAATTTATATATCTACTCAATACCTCTCAAACAAGATATTAATAAACTTTTCTTTTATGCTCAATATATCAACACATAGTTATGGGTCTTTACTTAGAAGATATTAATGAAAGCAAAACTTAAGCATTACAAAAATACAAAGAGAGAAAGGAAGAGCATGATCTTGATCTGGAAAACAATATGCTTAAATGCATGGCAAATGCCTCCTTTTATAGGCCAAAATTTGAAACTACTAATTTGATGGCTAATTGTTGAATGGGTGGTCAACTCTCGACTTGGTGAAAATCCTTATCTTCTTGTCTAAATAAAATGTCATTCTCATCAGAATTGGAACCAATTGTATTATGAAAGTTCTAAGAAATTGTCTTATCTTTCCAGGAAAAAACAATTAAGGTCATTTGGACTTCTAGAACTCGAGATATGGACTGAACACTAAACAGTATTTGTGTTGTAGGATAGATTCAGATTTCTTTGTTGTTACTATAATTTGGACTTAATTGCTTAGGTTATAGAGGCTATGAAACCAAACTTATCTATGTTTTTATTATCATTATTTTTTTATTTTTTATGTTTTTTTTTTTACAATTTATATTTTATATCTTTCCCTTAGTTGTTACCTTTAATAAAAGAACATAAATAATGTAATAATCTAATGTGCAATCCATAATCATATGTTAAAGTGTGTGTGTGAAGTTTTAAGAATACTTTTTAAATGAGTATATAAGCAGAATTAAGAAATAACAATGCGAGAGTTTGTAAACCTCAATATTTCAAAAAGTATTCTGATAAACCTTGTTATGAAAATTACAAATAACTATTAAAAAATATTTACCAAGATACGTCTCAAGAGTCAATAAAATTCCTCCTTACTCTGTTATGTTAGTAACAATAGTTTTGCAAATGGTTTATGAAATAGAAAATATAGTTTTTTTTTTAATATCAACTACTACCCTTTCCCTCAATCAAAATGAGACATT